AGAAATGCTTAAAGAAATTGTGACAGGAGAGAAAGAGAGACTGGGATATGAGGGAGCCTCCAGGTAGTGGAGTTAATTGGATATGCTGATCTGAATTGAATGTGCATGTAAGGTTTGTCATTAACTTCCTCACAGACACATCTATGATTTAAAGGGAAGATACCTAATGGCATCACTATTTCACTTTAATTTCAAGGGGGAGAATTCCCACATGGAGAGCAGGGAGCCAAGTCACACTCCTGGGGTTCCTGCCTGGTGCGTGCACAGGAAGTTCTTCAGGGCTGGGCTTCTCCTCCCATGGCTGGAGACGTGGTGGGGGATCCTATCAAGGATCCTGCACATCTGTGGGCTGGGTGTGCAATCCTCAGCAAACCCCTTGGCTTCCCTGAGTTTATTAACAGCTGGAAATGGGTCCAATCTGGTTGTTAACAGTCCTCTGAGGGAGCGCTTTACTCCCAAAAGAACCTCACAGAAGGTCTGAAGGGCTGTTGGAAACTTCTGTGTGATGATTTGCAATTTCTATTCTGGCTTCCCCCCTCCTGGAGGTTGCTGTGGGTGTCAGAGGATGTAGGACCATCAGCAGCCAGCATTGGTAGCCCTGTAAAATGATCCTGAGATGTGCATCTCGCCTCCTTTTTTGTCTGGTGTGAACGTAGAACAGCCCAGTTCAAATTAAACTGGATTAGCAAAAGTAAATCCTTTTTGCAAAGATTATTTGGATGAGGCACAGAGGAAATCTGGGCTGGTTTTTGTTTATCTTGTCCTGTCTTTGGGAGCTCTGTCATTGCTGAGTCTCCTGCTTGTGCAAGCTTTCTTTGTGACCAGGTCTAGGTAGGAAAGACTCTACAAAATCACAGACAGAAAGAGGTAGGGAAAGGCTGTTTAAACTAAACTGTGCTCCAGCCTGATTCAGAAACCTGCTGCCAGGAACAGTCTTCCTGCTAAATTTCCAGTCCTGAAGGAGGAAATCCATCCTGGAGCTTTGTGGGAACTGCCCAAGAGCTGAGATGTGCAGGTGTAAATGTCAAAGAAAGTGGCAATTCTGCAAAGATGCACCTTGGCAGCGAAGGCTGCTCCTTGTTTTTGGGTTTTTTCTCAGGCAGTGACGCTCCAGTGCACATTCCCAGAGCAGATACAGTTCTCAAAACATCCATTTTACACAAATGCCATGTCACTGGATAGTATTTCCTCACCCTGAAGGGTTAGAAAGCCTGACATGAAAGGAGCAGTCCTAAGGCTCCGGGGTTGTCTGGGCTTTTCCCTTTGTTGCCATTACAAACAAAAAAAAATCAGCAAGTTCAGCCAGCGTGTTGTGCTCCTGACCCTGGGAATCCAAAGTGCTTTGGGACCCACCAGGCACCTGTGTACGTGGGGAGAAGCTGCAGCTCTTGAGGAGTTAATGGGTGGCCTTGGTGTAGGATCCAGGATGGGGAATCAGTCCCTTCATGCATGGGCTTATTCAGCTGTTTTTCTGACATCGGGCTTTTCATCATGAGTCAGCCTCGTGGAAACACTGGTAATGAAAACAGACAGGTAATTTAATCATGGAAAGTTCCTACAAAGAGATCCAATGTCTTCTAATGGGAGCCTGCTGGGAGAATCTGGAAGGGAATGCAGATATATTTTACCTCTGGCATTGGCTGGGCAAAATACCTAAGGGAAACTTTAGTACAAGAGGTGTGTTGGAGCTTCATGTCATATTAGATCCTTGAATGGCTCCTACACGGGAGCTTCACATCAACATATACGTGACACAATATGGTATTTCAGCTAATCTGGGCAGATAATGCTGAGCTTATGCCTGCAGCCTGCATTGTGGGGGTATTAGAGAGATCAATCTGAGCAGAGCCTTTGAAGGGCTGCAGCTCCCTGAATTCTGCTCCATCACGTGGGGCCTTCCCCTGGCCCGGCGTCCTCCGAGCCAGGGATGATGTTTGGATTTGCAGATTATGTCATTAGGCACTTTTCAAGCCAGGTTTCTAAACATCCATCAGGAGCCATGGAGGGAAGTGCTGTATCTGGCCCAAAAAAGCTTCTCCAATTCATGTCCAAGTGTGGGAGCCTGTGGTTTGTCCTCCTGGTTTCCATTGTCTGTCTGGACATATCTCTGATCCTGGTTTCCATCTCACTGATGTGCAGCTCCCCATAACCCACCTGCTCCCTGTTTCACTGTGCTCCCACCCATTCCAACCTGCTCTGCTTCCCTCTGTCCCTCTCCTAAACCCTTCCCATTCCATTGTGTTGTGAGAGAAGACAGGCAGGTAGATTTAGGGGGATGTAATGAACCAGGACACCACAGCCCAGCCCCGTCCCTCTCCTGCATCGCTGTGCCAGGACCTGGGCTTGGGTTGAGCCCAGGCTTGCAGGGTTGGCACCACGTCGCTGTTCTAGTGATGGGTCAGGAGTTGTTTGGCCCCAGGAGGGCACCCACACGTTAGGCAGAGGAATTATTGCTCTCTCCAAACGTCAACAAGAAGCTTCCTGCTGGGGGGATGATCCCTTTCTTCTTCCGCCGTCGCAGGAATCATCGCTCTTCTCTGACATCATCATTTGTTGTCATGGAAACCAAACCCCGAGGAAGAGATGCAGTGGAGCATCCTGGTGTCGGTGGGTGCCTCTCAGCACGGTGCTGTGGGCAGGGGGCTGGGGGGCACCCAGGGGGTTTAACACCCACCACGGTGTGCGGGGCAGGGGGGCAGCAGGCTCTGCCCTGCCCTCATCCTGGGCTCTGAGATATCTCACCTCAACAGCCTCCATGAGAGACCCCAGGCTGCTCTTCTGCCTGTGGAGGGGCAGGAGGGTGCAGGCAGCACCCAGTACCCCGGGCAGGGCTCCAACTGTGTCCCAGGACACCCGTGCCAGGCACAGCTCCAAGCACTTGTCCAGGCTGGGGGAGCCATCAGTCACGTGGTGCTGCCGCCTCCAGCCCAGAGCCACAATTCCCAGTTGGAATTGCCCTGCACCAGGCTTGTCCAGTGGTATCTCTCTTTATTAGCCCTGTCTGACCTCATTACTAGAAAGGAGCTCAATTTAACGAGCTGCCAGTGCCCTGGGGGAACTCTGAAAAACAGTTGTTTTTTACAAAGGCTGCTGATCCTTCATGTCCAGCACTTCCATTCCCGTTTGGCCATTAATCAGGTGTTCACATGGAAGTGGCTGTGTATCCCTGACAGCCCAGTGTTCCTGCTGTTTATTCCTCAGGTGATGTTGCAGCCCTGTCCCTGTGTCCGTGGTGCAGGCTGGTGGCTCCATGGGTTGCAGCACCCAGCAAAGCACTGCTCTCGTCCTGGTGTGAACCTGCCTCTGGTTCTCAGTATTTCATGAAGATCCTGATTCTCACAGGTGGAATTAAAGCAGGATTTGACCTTCTGCCTTTCTGGGGGATTTTGTTTTTCTGAAAATTCAGGGCTTTTGAGGCAGGTTTGGGCTGGTGGCTTAATCCTGCCAGAGGCTCCCTGTGCCTGACTGTGGGTGTTCAACCAGACCACTCACGTTCCCACCTGATGTTCTTTTATAGCACTAAAAGCTCCGAAGGTAAGGAGAAAAAGAGAGAAATCCAGAAAATAAATGCATTTGTGTACCCAACATGTCTCCACAAGGCAGGGAGCACCAGGGCTCTTTCCAAGAAGAGGATTTATTTGGAGGAGGGTGCAGGGGGAGCATCTCTCCTCTCTGAGCGTGAAGATATCCCTGTATTTCCAGCTGGGGTGGCACATTTCTCAGATAAATCTTCAGATGCTTAACAACCTGCTGTCCTACCTCCTGGGGACACGAACCAGGGGAAAAAAAGACATCCCTCTCTGCTGCTCCATCCTGCCCCTTCGGAAGGTTCACACTCCAGGTTCTCCCTGCCTTTTCCTCCCTGCCACAGCCGGGAACTGAGCAGAAAAACGGGATGCAGCAAGGCAGCCCGGCATGAGGCCGGAGAGCAGATGGCATCTTTGTGATAAGAGGTTTTTCCAGGGCCGTCAGCCCCCTGTATTCCCTCTCCTCCGCGGGAGTGTTCCTGGCCCCCCTCTCCCGGCATCGCTGTCGCTGCCGAGCCCTTGGCTCGCCCGGCCGCTCTCAGCTGGCGGCTGCCGCAGCTCCGAGCTCTGCAGACACCGCGTTGCAATCAAATGGCTCTCCAAATATGCAAATCCTGGTGGGAAAGACAATGTAAATAGTTTGTTTATCCTCCTCCCTTTCCCCTCGCGCAGCCCCCGAGGCCATAAATTATTAACTTGGGGAAGAGATGGCACGTTCCTCGTTCCTCGGCGGCGGCCGCGCCGCTGGCAGGGACGGGGTTTGTCACAGCCTGGGCAGGTTTTCCTGCAGGAGCAGGGAGCTGTGGTTTGGAGGGATGGATGGATGCTTGGAGCCTGTCAAACTGAACAGGCCATGTGGTGCTCTGTGAGTTCTGTGCTGGCTCTGCTGGGTTCAGCTCACTGAGTCCTGCAAGTATGAAAGTGGCAGCAGCCTGTCCAAGTTTTTAGGCACCAAGTTTCTTAGGCCTCTGTGGCACCAAGAGGTGATGGAGATTGTCTGAGTGTCATTCTGTAGGTGTCTAGAGAATTAAAAAAAAAAACATCTCTGCAGTATCTTGGCTTTGCTGTTGCCTGTAGAGTCTTGTGGGTTTCTTTCATGCTTTTTTTAGAGAGAATCTAAAGAAGTTTACTGCAGTCTTTGTTGCTCCTGGGTGCCAGTGGTCAGTCACAGCACACTGGCAGTGTCTGTGCTCACCTTGCAACCCCAAAACTTTCTCACTATTTCCCATGGATTGGGAAAATCCCACCAACTTCAGTGGAGAAGGAACCTTTGCTCTAAGTCCTGCACCCACGCTCTGCCTGCTGGCTCTTTGCTCTCTCTCCAGGTTGCTAGCTGAGATTTTGAATTAGATTCCTTTTCCTACCTCCTCCTCCTCCTCCTCCTGCTCCTCTCCATCCCCCTTCCATCCCCCAAAATAAAACCGGAATTTGGCTGCTGTGAAGTCACCTCTAATCTGTTTGTGCTCCTTCCAGATCCGAGCAGATGGTCCTCCCCATGGTGGAATTCAGTATGAAGTGGTGACAGTTTTCAAGGACGGGAGCCCAGTGCTTCGAGACATGGCCTTCTCCATCGACCACAAGTACCTGTACGTCATGTCAGAGCGACAGGTGAGGCTCTGCTTCCACATCTCCTTGGTTGTGGCTTCCTCCCATGAGGAGTGTGTTGTTGGAGCACATGGAGCTGAGGTTTTGTGTCCAGCTCCATGGTGCCGGGGTTGGTTCGTGTGGATGGAGCATCAGAGCTCAGATTTATCTGCCTCTGCCCAGAGATTGTCGTCAGTGCTCAGGGGAGAGAGTTGTACCTGCTTGCTCTTGGCTGGAAGGGCTGGGAACTGAGCTGAGCTGCTCAGAGGTGATTTGGGGCTCTGAGCCATCCCTGCCTAAATCCTGAGCCACAGGCATTCCAGACTTGCTCCTCGTGCAGCCAGGCTGGCAGACTGGGGGTTTGCATGGCTTTGTCTGAGCATCCTTTATCACAGAACTGTTAAAGTTGGAAAAGATCTCCAAGATCATCAAGTCCAACCGATCCCCACCTTGTCCCCCAGCCCAGAGCACTGAGTGTCACGTCCAGTTGTTTCTTGGACACCTCCAGGGATGGGGACTCCACCACCTCCCTGGGCAGCCCCTTCCTTCCAATGCCTGATCACCCTTTCCATGACCAAATTCTTCCTGACGTGGGTGAATTTATGATGGCTTTATGTATCTATTCATTTTATTTATTTATTTATCAGTATATTTGAAGTGGTTGTAGTGAGTGATTGTGCTGCACAGAGGGGGGACCAAGCCCCATTAACACCGAGTCTGCTCTGTGCCATCCTTCACTGTGCCAGTTCTGCTGCTGCCCCGAGGGTGGTGCCCACCCCAGACAGAAAAAGCACAACCAAAATGATTAGGATGGGAATTGATGGCTGACAGTCCACGGGAGTCTGTTGCTTAGGGGAGCCAGCCCGATGTAAATAATCTGGGACCTTCTGTTCTTCTCTGAGACACAAAACCACATGAAGTCCCCACTGTTAAAGCAGATTTCTGGGTTCACTGGCTCTGCTGAGAATTTTATTGGCTGTTACTGAGGACTGTGTAATTCAGATTAATGGAGCTGGTGCCTTGTGGGTGGTGGACAGAGGAGCAGGGTTGTACCTGAAGGTGTCTGGATGCTGTTAAATTGTTCTGTGGTGAGTATTAACCCTCTGGTCACTCCCAGCTTTCCACATCTGCTGGTAAACAAATACCTGCCCTCCCTCCCAGCTGCTCTGAGAGATGCTCCAGGAAAATATCAGTGTGAAGGGATCAGGGATGTGCTGATGGAGGTAGAGAGGGAGCAGCTGTCCCACCAGCTCACCTTGCACTGGGAGCTTCCAGCTCCTCCCAAAGCCAGCAAAACTGTAGGAAAACAAAAAAAAAAATCAGGAAATCCTTCACTTGGTTATGAAGTCATTTATAGCCACGGAATAAATGCTTTTAGAAGAGTGCAAAGTCTGCTAAGAGACTCAAGTGAATGAATCCCTGTGGTTGAAGGAGGCATTATATGCTTGTTATAGCAGCTCAGGGATAGACAGTGCCATGAACAGCCTCAAATTTAGGATCCCATTCCAGCCTGGAGTTGGATTGGATGGTAAGAACGAGGATCTAGGCAAACTTTGAAATGGAATTATTTTATTAAAATGTTAGTGCTTGGCCATTTCCTGCAGGAGCCACGTGCTCCTCGTGCTCTCATCAGGGAGGAAAGAGTCCAGTGTGTATCTCAAACAGTTGAGGAACTGCTTTCATTTGGAGGAAAATCCAGTGGGAATGCCTCCAACTCATCTGTTATGAGGCGAGAGCGCCTTAATATTCATCAAAGCGCTAATTTGCTTAATTGTGAAACAAAAAGATGTGAAGAGAATTAGCAAATAATAGAATATTCCTGGGACGTTAATTCCATTTTCAGCCCTGGCTCTGGCAAAGCACTTGCCTTGGGGAGCCTCCAGCATCTGGGGGATGTTGTGTCTCATTCCTTGCAGGAATTGCCGTAGGATTTGCCTTTTGCCCTTGTAGAGATGTGTGTGCCTTGGGTCCACAAGTCCCAGCATACCACTGCATATGGCTTTTGTCAGCTCCTGTGACCCCAGTGCCCTCATCCTGGCAATGTGATAGTTCAGCAAAGTGGAGGGGAGAATATATTTTACCCTGAGAGCTCTATAAAGGAGGCTGATGATTGAAAAGGGGTCAGCACCAAGAGGAGGAGGAGGCAGGTCCAGCAGCTTCAGAGGGCTGAGGCTGTAAATGGTGGGAAGTGCCTTTCAGAAATACTGAGAATATACAGTAAAAAAATGTCTTCTGGAGTCTTGAAATTTGGAACAAAACGAAATTCTGCCACAGTTAAAATGACAGAGGGAGCAGCTGTTCTTACCCGTGAACGTGCTGGGGGAGGATTGTCCAGAGCCTGTGCTTGTAAATCTGTGCTGAGAAAGGAACAGGACACATGCCTGTGTCAAAACATGCCTTTCAAAAAACGGGCTGGGGGTGGTTTTTTGTGGAATTAAGGTAAGAAATGTGCTCCCCAGCAGTGGTGGGGAGCAGGTCCTGAGCCCTTCTGGCCGTGGCTTTGGGCACAGCCCAGCTATGAGACGCAGGGCTCGGTGTAGGACTGTGATTATGCTGAATAAACCGAGATGTGTGGATGCTTCCCAACAAAGAGATGTAACATCTCGGCGTGGAGCCCATCCTCCTTCTGTGCTAGCAGCAGCTAGGATCAGCTTTATGCTGAAATGCATTAGGGAAAGTAGTCACTTCATCCTAAAATCTGGAGTTGTGGTTGCAGGCACAGTCCTTCCCCGCTCCCCTGGCTCCTGTCCCAGCCCTGTCTGTGCTTTGCTCCAATTTTTCCGCACTCCTTTTCGAGCTCTCCATGAGCCTTTCATGTTTCGTTGCCAACTTCTTCCAAAGCAGAATATTTGACATTTGATTTCACTCCCACAAAGCACAGAAGCAACAGTTGCACAGCCCAATCCGGGGGAGAGAAGGATAAAGAAACTTTGCTTCCAGGCACTCGGAGTTCTTTAGGCACACGATTTAGGGGTGGTTATTAGGAGCTGTTTCAGGCTTTCTTCCTGCAGCACCTGGTTTCAAATAGCTCTTAGGGGGAAAAGAGAAATGGTCCTGACCCTATTTAAAGCAGCAATTCATTTCTCAGCGTTGCTGTAGGAAACAAACACCGTTTCTGCCCGCAAGCTGAGCAAGGCTTGGGTGGAGCTGGAGGCTGAGATGTGATGCATTAGTGGAGCTATGTGGGGTTCCAGGATGGACTTGCAGTGGATCTGTTGGGTGCTGGCAGAGTTACACCATGTCCTGCCCCCAAATTGGTGCTGGGGTGGGTTGGTGCTGGAGGGACCTTGGTGAGGGGACCTGCACCGTGGCTGTTCTCAGCTGCTGCCCAGCGTGAGCTGCCTCTTGTTTTTCATGGACAGACAAATGCAATTAACAGTTTCTACCAGGGGAAAAAAAAACCAAAAAACAAACACAAAATAAAATATTGAAGTGGCCTCAGTCACGTTGCTGTCATGACAGGCGTTTGGCTGCTTTGCTGGTGGGATGTGAGGGTGCACCCAGGGCTGGCCCCCAGCGATCAAACAGCAGGTGAGGACAATGCAGTGACAAATGTGGGGCCACCAAGAGCCACCTTGTTTAAAAACTTCCCATTTCAATACTGACCCTGTTGCAGAGCCCTCACCAGCAACCCCTGCCTGTGCAGAGAATCTCTGCTTTCTCCCTTTCACAGGGAGAGACTGAGTCTTACAGGAAAAGTGCTGGTTATGGTGAGGAAAAGTGGCTTTATAATTCAGTCCTGAAGCATTAATTGTCTGGGTGTCAGGGAGACGGTTGGTTTTTTTAATGTATGAAAAGCTCAGTGCATTTCAATTAAATCAGCCCTGCAGGCCGAGAGTGATTTTATGACTCCAAGGCTGCAACAACCCCTTTTCCTCGCTGGATGTGCTGCCTGTGCAAGTTCAGGCCGTTGCAGGGCTGGTTCCACATGCAGCAGGTTCGACCTGGCTCCCACGTACACCCCCGGCCATCCAAGCTCGCCCTGTGAGGGGTGGTGGGCATCCTTCAGCACTGAGATTGCATAAGCATCAGCAGAACTGGGGCCAAAGATTTTTGCAGCTCTTGATAGAAGACCAAATTTGGCTGTTTTTAAAAGCTGGGAGCGAGCAGAGCTCCGTCGAACCCGGGGCAGGGATTGCCGGCTCCGAAAGGTTTCACCACCTAATAAAGGGCTGTAAACATGGAAACTAAAAAGCAGCATGATCAAAATACTCACAGGGCTCATTGGGAGGAACATCCTTGTGCTAGTGGAGAGAAACACGGCCCAGAGGGTCTCTTCCCTTCTCTGTAAGCCCTGATCCTCAATCAGAGGCTTCCTGCAGGCACAGGAGGCAGCAGTAGGTGCACAGGAGCTCCCTCTCCTTTCATTGCCTCTTCCCCACCTGAAAACACACTGCACCAAGACATATTTTTTCCTTCCTGATTTTCCAGCACTTCTTTTTTCAGCTGATGATCTATCACTTGTTTGTGCTAATCACGTCCGACGCCTTGATGAAGCGCCGAGGTCGTGCAAAGTGGTTCTGCTCCCTGATGGGTGAAGCAGCACCTTGCTAAGCAAGGACCTGGCCAGGATGTTGTAAATGCAAAATTCATCTTCCATAAACACCCTCCAAAATCCCTGCACATTTCATTGCCTCAGAAACGCTGCTGCTCTGGGCTCAGCCGGAGCTGCTTTCGTGGTTAATTCTGCCACAGGGGGATGATTTTCATTCTGGTTTTAAATGTGAGAGAGCAGCATCCAGGCTGGCTGGGAACCTCCCCGTTCCCCAGGTAGGAATAATAGCACATAATCACCCAGTAAACATCAATTAGCACGGCAGAGCTCAGAGGGCCATGGACCTCTGCAGCCTGGGGTGTCCTGGGGGATCCTTTGCTCCTCCTGTGAGTGCTGGATGCTCCACGATCATTCTGCCTGTGGTGCTGAGCCCCTCTGTGCCCATGCCAGGGTAACCTTGGCTTTAGGGAGAGTTTGGAGGGCACAGTTTTATGTGCTTTCATAGAATCTTAGAATGGTTTGGGATGGA